GATCATGTGGACGCTGTGCTGGTAAGAACCTGGTGGGGAGCATGGGGCCCCTTAAGCACCACAGTTGGGGGAAGTGAATGAAGGTGCTATAGACAAAGGTGTGGTCAGGTTAAAGGATGGTGAACAGCCTAGAGCGAGAGCATCAGCTAGAGGATGTTTCCATCATTCAGTATATGGGACAGGAAGAGGGAGAAGTTATGGGGACCTAGAGAAGGCTGGTTGCTGGAGGAGAGGGTGGCAGACAAGAGCCATGGCCTTCAGTAGAAGAACATAACCACGATCAGACCAAGGTCTCCTGGAGAATAAATACTGTGACCGCTTTCCTCCTGTGATCTGTTGGTGTCACCCAAGGGTTGAATCCATTGTACCAGAAGGGCAAGGGAGCCAACTGAGGCAGCCCATTGTGACAGCTTCCGAGGAAGCAGAGCTGGGTGCGAAGGGTGGAGGGTAGCTCTGGAGGGACAAATGCAGAGGATACAGCACAGACATGGAGGTGGGGAAAGCATTATTATGCAGGCTGATCCACAAAGTGTTGTTCAGGCGAGCTTTATTATTTAGCACGCTTTGCTTCAGCCGAAGTCGGGACCAGAGGCTTTTGCTCTGATGTCCTGGTTCTCACGATGCTGATGCTTTGCACCTATAAGAAGCTGTCCTGCTCACCAGGGCTCCACACGTCCTCACTCACCATCACAATACACCTGAGCCTTCGCTCAGATGCTCCCATTTCACACCTGGAGAAACCAAGGCTTGGGGAGCATAATGGTTTCTTCATTCATTCATTCAGAAAACCATTTACCAAGCTCCTCCTGTCCTTCAGGGCTGTCCTCCATCTGTCCTTCAGTGCTGTCCTTCATCTGAATGAGCCTGCCCTCTCCTAGCTCACACCCCCCTGGAGAAGTCAGACAACTAACAGGTAAGCCACATAAACACAAGGGAAAAAAAAAAAAAAAAAACAGAACAGTAATGGAGATACTATGGGAGAGAAGGTGACTGGGGGCTGTAGAGATTGGGAAGTGAACGAGAAGACATTTACATGGAAGCCTGAATGGCAGAAAGGACTTGGTTGTGTATCTGAAGGAAGAGCATCTCCAGCAGAGGCACGATGAGGCTAAAGCCCCAAGGTGGGAACTAGCAGAAGGCAGGCATGTGTGACTGGAGACTGACCACCCAGGCCAGATGGGAAAGATGAGACTGGAAAGACTGATCTTAGGGGAACCTCTGGAGGGCTTTGAGTAGGGGAGAGACCTGGGGTCTGTTTTTTTAAAAAAATTACTTTGGCTACTAGGTGAAGAGATTGTGAGGGATGGGATGGAAGCAGGGAGGCCCCTAGGAGCCATGTTTAGTGGCACTAACTAGAGAAATCTAGTGCTGGCTGGGTTCAGTGGGTTCGGGGTCTGTCTTGGAGGCAGGGCTCCTGGTCCTTTCTAAGGGATGGGCCATGGAGCATGAGAAAAAGAGGAACCAGGACTAAGTCCCGAGTTTCTAGCTTACTTAATTGGATGCACATGGAGCTTAAACTAACTGAGACAGAGAAGCCGGTTGGGGAGAAAACCCAGGTCCATGTGTTGGCCATGTCTTGTCTGAGATAGATATATTTCCCAAAAAGAGTGCTGGCAAGGATGTGGGAAATTGAAACTCCGATACACTGTTGCTGGTGGGACCATAAAATGGCGCGGTTGCTTTGAACAACAGTCCGGCAGTTCCTCAAAATATTAAACAGTTACCATATGACCTGGTGGTTCCACGCCTTAGTTTATACCCGAAAGAATTAAAAACATACGTTCAGGGCGCCTGGGTGGCTCAGTTGGTTAAGCGACTGCCTTCGGCTCAGGTCATGATCCTGGAGTCCCGGGATTGAGTCCCGCATCAGGCTTCCTGCTCAGCAGGGAGTCTGCTTCTCCCTCTGATCCTCCCCCATCTCATACTCTCTCTCTGTCTCATTCTCTCTCTCAAATAAATAAATAAAATCTTTTAAAAAAATAAATAAAAAATAAAAACATACGTTCACACAAAGACGTGTATATGAATGTTCACAGCAGCGTTACTCGCAATAGCCAGTGTAAATACTTAATGTCCATCAGCGGATGAATGGTCAACAAAACATGGTCCATCCATACAGTGGAATATTATTTGGCCATAAAAAGGAATGAACCTGGAAGAATCTTAAAAACACGATGGTGAGTGAAAAAAGCCAGACACCAAAGACCACATGTTGTATGATTTCATTGACATGAAATGTCCAGAACAGACAAATCCAAAGAGACAGAAAGCCAGTTAGTGGCTGCCAGGGGCTGGGGGAGAGACTTCTAATGGGTAGGAAATTTCCTTTGGGGGGAATGAAAATGTTCTGGAACCAGACAGAGGTGACGGTTGCCCAACTTTGCAAACACTAAATGCCACCAAACTGTACAATTTACAAGGGTGGATTTTATGGCATGTGAATGACACCTCAATTAAAAACAGATCAGGGGCGCCTGCGTGGCTCAGTTGGATAAGAGACTGCCTTCGGTTCAGGTCATGATCCTGGAGTCCTGGGATCGAGTCCCGCATCGGGCTCCCTGCAGGGAGTCTGCTTCTCCCTCTGACCCTCCTCCCTCTCATGCTCTCTGTCTCTCATTCTCTCTCTAATAAATAAATAAAATCTTAAAAAAAAAAACAAAAACAGATCAGTCGGAGTTGGCCAGGCATGCGGCGTGGGAACAACGGTTCAGGGACAAGGGACAGCAGGAGCAAAGGCACGGAAGCCAGACACAGGCTGGCAATGACCAATCACGGTGGAAGGAGAAGAGCCTTCAGGATGGGAGTGCCAGCCAGGGAGCCTGGACTCTTCCCCAGAGTGACGGAGACCCTTGGAAGTTTGGAGGCAAGGTCCCAGCCTGCAGCCACCTCTCCTTGGAAGGTTCTCGTGTCCTCAACTCCGTCCTCCCCATGCCCTCTCTGGCATGCTTCTCCTTCCTTGTCCCTCACACACCGCTCAAGCCCTGCTGCTCGTGGCCCATGTGCTGATGCCAGGCTGGGGCAAGTTTCTCTTCACAGGGGCAAACATCCCCTCCGTACACATCCTTCCAGGGCCCCTCCATAAAGGAGGGCCTTCTGATCCTGGCTTTCCTCCCGACCTAACAACTGTCCCTGGGGGCAAGTCACAGAACTTCTCATTCTAAAAAAAACAAAAACAAAAACAAAAA